ATTCTTAGGTTAAGCTGGTTATTAGCAAAAAACGTTCTATTTTACACGACTTTTTGCAGTCTTCAGGTCTATTGTTGGTAAGTATTCAACTACTGTTTCTTTGACCGTTCAAGTGGACTGCTCTTAAAGTAATATAGTTGACAACAAAATCTTTGCTGTTGGTTTGCGTACGAGATGGCCATATTATGATATCTTGAAATTTGTTATATATTTCTCGAAAGCTAATTTACTCGTATTTAGGAAACAACAAAACACTATACTTTTCTGTTTTTATATATTTTTGTTTAAATTTAGGCTTCTTATTTGAGTACCTGGTTTCTCTTAATAAAAGCAAATATTACCATTTTTCTATTCACCACATTATTTAGATGATTATGAATGATTGTCGACAATTATTTCATTCTTTGTGATTTGTGAATATATACGTGGTAGAGCCATGTTGCAGCTATATTAGTAGTATAGTTGTAGCACGAATGGGTCGGCTCGACCGGGGAAGGACCACGCTCTCACAGAAAACCAGCGTAAAATAGCGGCTTAACGCTGCTGTGTCTCGTATGGTGAGTGTAGAGAACCGGAGACCCTTTTTACTGGAAAAGAGGCATTCCATCTTAGTTCTCACGGGTGACAACGCATCTGCATCTTGAGCCTTTATTGAGGATAGATGTAGATGTCTATGGGTCACAGTAACCACTTACCATCAGGTGGACTGTGTGCTCGTTTGTCACCCTATCCTATAAAAATTGTTTTGCAATTTGTATGTTTTGATTTTAAGAAGTTAAAATCAAAACATATAAATTGCCGCAGTTATATATATTCAGCCGTGATTATCAGATTAAAATTTGTCACGCAAACGGGGAAAATTAAGAAAGTTACTTCTGGTAAAAAACTCCGATTAAATTGAGTTTCTCAATATAAAACAGAGTGCCTTTGAACTGTTAGAAATAAAAAAGGCGAAAATTGTAAAAAGAATGTAACAAGACCATTTCGTGCAGTGACCAAGCAGAAACGGCCCCTAATATACAGGCGCCCCTCGACCCAAATCATGGAATAATAGACACCAAGGCGGCCGATCACGCCGCAAATAACTTTACATAAAATCGAATTAATTAATCATGAGAATCGAGCTCTGAAGTTAAAAAAAACTTTCTGTCGAAGTCGCTGGCGAAGTTTTAAGGAGAACCTAACGAGGAATGGGACCGTAGATGAGAGATGAAAGTTCAGCCTGATTCCGATGAGAGGAGCGAGCGCAGTAGACAAGAATAGCTGCAATTTAAAACTCGATTAGAATTTGAACATCGAGTGAGCGTAGTTATTAAAAATATTCTAAAGTCCGTAGTTAAAAATTTGATTTTAAAAAGAAATCTCTTTAAATACAACGAAAAAATTTAGTTTTAAACGGACGGGTTTCACGGGTATTGTACGAGTGAAAAAAGAAACTTTAAGTTTTCTTTGTTGTTGTAAGTACTTTACTGTTCTATAAATTAATTTTCTTTTTTATTTTAAAACTTTATAATACGAATTTCTTTTGTTAGGAACCTATCACTTATAGAAACTTCGCTAGTCGTTGCCTTAACTCTCTAAACTATTTTACGTTTCTTCATCCGGCCAACAATGGTGAGACCGCTTTGCAGCGTGTCATAACTGTATCACGAATGGGTCTGCCCGACTGGGGGAATTACCATACTCGCACAGAATATATGCGATAAATACCAGTACAATACTACTGTGTTTCGAATGGCGAGTGTTGAGAACCGAAGACCCTTTTTACTGGTAACGAGGCAATCTATCTTAGTCCTCAGGAGTGACTTACACATCTGCATTCTCATTCATGGTCGAGAATAGATATCATTTGTTGGACTGTGTGCACGTTTGTCACCCATATTTCTAAAAAACACGTCTCGTTTCTATAATGCATTATTGGCAACACATATTTTGCTTTATGACGTAACACATATTTGTGATAAGACGAGATGCATTGATTGACGACAGTCGATTGTCCTATTTTTGACTTAGTGTTTGTCTTCTCGCCTAACTTCGAGCGTAATCATCTTAACAACTACTGGTAAAAGTGTGTTCACATCCGTCATAGAACCTACCGGTTGATACCCACTGAGGTCATTCAGCACAGCACTAAGATTCTGTAGTGATTTTGTCATGCGTATATTGGCGACAGAATGACTGTGCGTGATAAATGCCAGCCATGTGTGTTAATACTGAATCCTTTCAAGTATTGTACTTTAAAACGTCTTCTAATGTAATATAACGTGAAATATATAGAAGTAATTAGGGTTATTAATATCAATACAGAATATATATATATATATATATATATATATATATATATATATATATCTAATATATCTACACCACCGATACTTTTAATTTTAAACATTAGACTGCTGAATTGTGTCAGTTATATGTGAAACAAAAATATATGTATATCACGTCCAAAGAAATTTTAACAAACCGACGTATAAAACCCATATTTCTATTTAAAATAACTACATTTAAAATAATACTAACGCTCTTTCAGACTTACCTTGCCATAAAATCCTTTTAACCATAAAGTGTTGAACGAGAGTGACAGAAGTTACTAGCTTGTTTACGAGCTATAAAATAAATCGAACTGAATACAAAGACCACAATAACCGAAGTCAGCGATTAACCTGGTTAAATAAATGAAAAGTTCTTATTCTTTACGACTATTTTCTTTTACATTTTCTTTTTGTATATTAGCGTCAAAAGAGGATGTTTTTTGTACTAATGCTAAAGTGGTTCATTTTGTACATATTGTAAAAATTACAAAAAAAAAATAGTTTTCATAATTCTATCTATTCATCCATAAAACCTATAAAAACAAACTATAAGTATCGTCCGTGCAACTGCCAAATTCCATTTGTGCATTTTAAATTTTTTTGTTTTTTGCGCTAATCATAATCTCTGTTTCATTCTCTATTTGTTGATAAAGTTATTTTTGCGATGTTCGAACTAGCAACGATCCTAACAAATTCCATGATAAAGTTCTTTTTGCGATATTCGAACTATAAACGATCCTAACAAATTCCCTGACAAAGTTATTTTTGCGATATTAGAACTAGAAACGATCCTAACAAATTGCATATGTATTTTGACCGTTTAGAAAAATTCGTATGTACAGAAATGCGCATAAATGTTTTGTGTTCCGTCTTCAGTCACCCGCCAGCGGTGATAGTGATGTAAGGGATGTGCAGTATGATAAAAATAATTGTTGTAAGTATATTTTGTGATAAATTCACTGTATACTTACCTACCACTTTTTCTGTGTTCAGAAATCACTGGTCAGTTAAGAGAGGATACGGAATTACTTGAGGAAAACTTCAATAAAGGTAACTACTTTCTCGATGAAAATACAGGGATACTAGAGCGAAATAATTATGATGTTTGTATATTTACGAAGACAACAATAGTACATCTGAAACTGAGTTTTCGAATAGTGACGAGGAAATAAATAGGAAACAAGGGAGTTCAATACACTACAGAGGAAATGTGGCAAAAAATACACGCACAACAGGCGAGAAAGCGAGAAATGAATTAGGACATTACAACACCATACTCTTTATTGTACAGAAAGGACAGATTAATATAACAAAAATAAACAAATATTAAGGGAAAAACTAAAGACAGTCTTATTAAAAGATTAACAAGTAGGGTTATTTTATAGAAAAAGGGTAAGAAACGAGCACACAGTCAACCTGATAATGAGTGGATGCTGTGGCCTATAAACATCTAAATTTATCCTCAATTGAGAAATAAAATGATGATGCGTTATCACCCCTGAGTAATGCGCTGGAATGCCTCATTTCCAGTAAAAAGGGTCTCCGGTTCTCTACACCCACAATACGATACATAGCATCATTAAGCGTTAAGCATTAAGCTATATTACGCTGGTATTCTGCGAAAGCGTCCCCGGTCGAGCTGTCCCATTCTTGCTACAACCATAATAATGTATAGCTGCAGCTAAAATAAGAAAGGAATCAACTTATGCAGAAAAAAGACAACTTCCTTTAGGTAGATCAATGACTATAAATAAATGGAGGAATATAGAGGATTTAGAGAGACATATTATAGTGTTCGTTAACTTGTTTCTGAAACACATGCGAGGGTTGAGCAGTTTTAATTGAATGGAGCAAGAAGTTCTAAAGAATTTCCTTGGATCCCAATAGCTGAACAATTCAAAACGTTCTTTTAGATAGGGACGGATTGATAGCTACTTGAGTTTAGTGCGGTATTCCGAGACAGGGTCATATTTATGAAGCCCAAATATGAACCGTCGATTCATATTTGGAAACAAAGATTTTAGAGTCGGTCAAGTTTGTTAAGTCTGTCCTCGGTAATATCAAGGTAACAAGTGTCAGCATAGTCGAGGATAGGGAGGGATTATGCAAGCATAATATTAGTGGAAAGTAAAAAAAAAGTAGTGTAGTATAGTAGAAGGTAAAAAGTAGTTATGTCTCCAGGGTGAAGCATATGCTGCAAACATTTTACGGCTCACTGCATTAACTTGGGGAGTCCAAGAAAGACTGGGATCTAAAAGTATACCTTAAATTTTTAACTACGTCATTATAAGGGATAGGGGCACTATTAAATATAACAGGTTGTAATTAACATTTTTTTATTTTGCAAATCAATCCTGAACTCCCACTAATTGTGTCGTTTAGAAACAAAACTGATCAAATCCTAAAATAAAGGTTTTTGAACAAAGTACGCAATTTTTTCTATAGAAAATATTGTTTTTGTTACCGGTTTCAATTAGAAACCACTGTTCAGTATCAAAAAGAGTGAAATCCTTCAAAGCTTAGAAACGAAATCGGTCTAATCTGCGTCGGCCAATCAGAAGCCAGAACTATGTATGAAAATGACAGCCAACAGGCGGCCATTTTGCGGAGTGACGAGAGCATGGATCGTCATTTTGTATTCTCGTCGCCGTTTTTAATTAAATGTTGCTGTTTAATACCATTAAAATGGACAGTTTAATAAAGGAAACTACTCCCCAGTTATCACGGAAAAGGACAAAACAAAAAGAGGATTGGAAATGCAACAAATTGAAGAAGGAAAGGTATGTTTGTATTACTTTGACCACTCACGCTGTCCTTCATGGTCAGTAGTGCTAAACATTGTGTCATCTGTTAAGTACAAAACTCATGTTTTATATTGGATCAGCTACTAAGAATTTCCTTTTTTCTTGCAATTTTTTTTTTACTTATAATGGGATAGCATGAAGTATTTTATCCTACTGCGGTGAAACTCAGAGGGAGGGTTTTATGTTTTACCAGTATAATAATTTTATGTACGTCCATTCCTATGTTCCCTCATATCTACTAAACGGCTGAACAGGTTTCGATAAATTATGCGTCATTAGATTCCTCTTGATAACGCAAGTGCCTCTAAAGACAAAGCATGTAGGCCTTTTTTACCCGTAGTCCAACTAATAAGTTCACCTGGGTGGACTATGGGGACTTGTCCTGACCCTTGGTACACTCGGTGGACTGGGACCCATTGAATGTACTAAATAAAAATTATACGAATGGACCCAGTTATTTTTATAATATTTAATTATTTATGATTGTTATTATTTTAGGTATACTCCAAAAGAACCACCAAATTTAAGACTTCCATATGACCACTACACCAAAGCATACAGGTGCACTTCATTGAATCATACCGACATAATAGCATTTAATAAAGCTTTCTACAAAAAGACGTACAAAATTTATCAGGATAATTTTATAATTAATTATACAAAAGTTACTACTACTCAGCGACATCGGCCAGTAAATCATCGTGGAAATAAAAAACAAATGGCGGTAACGTACTATGCACGACGAGGTCACAATGTTCTGATTCCAATTTGCAAACGCACACTTCTCTCTATTTTAGCTTTGAAGAAAGGTGTTCTTAATCGGAATTTCAAGCCCATGGGTGAAATTGCACAAGAGAATAGAGGAGGACGACGTAAAACACAAATATGCACCTAAGAGGCAAGCTGTCAAAGACTTTATTAAAAAGCTCGAGCCCTTAGAAATTCATTACTGTAGAAGTAAAATAAAAAGTAGACAATACCTGTCATCAGAGCTCAACATCAGTATACTTTACAAAATGTTTATCGCATAAACCACGAATGAACATATAAATAATAAGGCATCTTTCTTCAGACAAATTTAAATAAAGTTATTTCAAATAAAGCAAGACTGATTTCAAAATACTAGATCTGTTACTTCCCAATCAACCCAAAATATTGAGAAATCCTGACATGATATTGTTTTAGCATCAAAATCAATCATATCCATGGTGTTAAGAATCAAACATGGTCAAATCCAACTACACCAATAACAAAACTAGTCAAATCCATAGCTTGGTTTCGAAATAGGTCAAATCCAAAATTATATCCTAATTATTTTGATTTCTTAGGTTTGTAGTCATGAATGTTTTTTTTTAATCAGTAATACCAACTTAGGCAAAGCCATAATGATTCAAACTCTATAAACATCTTGTGCAGGGAGATTAGAACGAAAAGTCGTTGATTCCCATAAATACTCCCGAATGGATTTGACCACTTTTGTTTCTAAATGACTCTTATTGTTTGGGATTTTTAGTTCACAGTTAACCCATGCGATGGACTTCAGTCGAAAATAATAGCCAGATCATTGCTTATATATTCAACTGATTTCGGAAGATCTTCACTATTTGTTTGTAAATATATTTGGAGATCATTTTCATGCAAGTGGCAGAGAGAAGATATTTGGGGCTTAATCGCATTAATAAAGATACCGCCAGCCACGGTATCAAGCCACAAAGAAAATCTATCTTGGACACAAATTCGTTGCCGGCGTCCATACAAATAACTGTGAAACCAGGAAATCGCAGTTGGAGATAATATGTTAAGGGAAAGCAGTATCCCTAGCAGAATATGTATTGCTGAAATCTAGCAACAAAAATATTGTTGTGTTTTGATGACTCTCCATAGCGTAGCAAATGTCGTCCGTGATTTTTAGAACTCCGTAGTCGTAGTATGAGATGTAAAGCCAGATTGGAAAGGATTGAGGATACTATTTCTTAAACTGAAGGAATTTAATGCGTTGTTGGACAAGGCTTTCTATGACTTTGGAAAGGAAGCGAAGAACTGAAATAGGACAATATTCGGAAAAACATTTGCTTTTTGTGTGAAGGTATGATTTAGATGCCCAAATTGGGAAGGAAAAGAAGACGAGGATATGGAAAAATTAAGATGAAGGTAGTAAGATATAGGCGTTAAAAAGTCTAGCAATGGAATTATCATTTTATTACTGACGTCGTTATTTCCGACAGAGTCAGAATGGATAGAGAGTCTACGTCTCCTAACATCATCACAATTTGCAAATTACTTAGACACAAATGGAGAAAATTCATGAGTGGAAAACGATGAAAATTGAGTGAAATTGAGAAATGCGAAGTATGTGAAATGGAACGTCTTATAAAAAGGGTAGTTGAGATGCGTTCAAAATATGGTGGTAATAAGTTTACCCTTGACGTAGAATAAGCATAAATAAATATTAAAAATATTTTTTCCTGCGGGAGTCTGTTCTCCCAAATTCTGTCATTCTTTGGATTTGACTTGTATCTCGACTTTGCGTCATTCTTCTTGTCTATCAATCTTTTAAGATCGAGATGACGTATTATATTTGGACGAACAGGAGCATGTGCATAGAATTGAAGAAGAAGTGAATTAAACATTGCTATCTATTCGTCAACGGTACAAGCCTTAGTTTTATTTTTTCAGTCTATATTAGCACCGTGATTTAGTAGCCATTCTACAATTGAACCCTGTTTTAGAAGTATTAAATCACATACTGTCAAAGAATGGTTGAACTTAGTAAATGAAGTACTAAGTCACTATTCTTTATCTCTCCATATCACTTTGTTTGTCTGCCGACTTCCAAAAAGGAGCCGGTACTCAATTCGACTGTATGTTTTTTTTTTTCGTTTTTTTTTTTATGTGTGTTACCTCAGAACTTTTTTCTGGGTGAACCGATTTCGATGATTCTTTTTTTATTTGAAAGCTGGTACTTCTCGTGTGGTCCCATATGAATTTGATCAAGGTCAGACCAATAGTTTTTAAGTTATTCTTAAATAACTTATATTGAAGTCGGCTGTACAAAATTTTTAATTTTAAATTATTATATGTAATGTATGATTATTTTATAGTTCTAGTAGTTTCTAATAATTGTATTATCTAAGTATTTTGTAACCTAATAAAAACTAAAGATCACATAATGAGAAACCTAATATGAAAGTGTCACATTGTCAAATCCTTCATGTGCAATAACGCACATACATTATTGTTTTAGACGGTTCTAAACCAGTTATGTGCACTTTTTGGTTTAAAAAAATTCTACCCCCTTAAATAATAAATATTTATAGAAAATGTTGTATTTCTAATATGTCTCAAATAAATATCTATAATATTGCATTAATAATTTGGCAGTGTTTCTGTTTGTTTATTCAATAACACGTTTTTTGTTGTTTCCCAAAAACTTACAAATATCACATATGGAATTTGTCAGTCGCAGCGATGGTATGCTCAACAAAAGCTTCAACTTTAAGTCTTTTAATCTTTTACTATAGTAGTCACGCTTGGGAGGTGAGTTGAAAACCGCAGTTTTTGTTAAGAATTTTTGTTGCTTATCTCCGTACGACGGACGGAGTACGGTAATGGATAACAGTACCACTAAAAATTTATAATAATTTATTAATTTATGAGTTACGATTTATTAATCTCGTATTATGGGACAAGTTGGATACAAACGACGCTCCAGGTTGCTGAACGGACTCCAATCTGAATGGAGATTTCTGAATAATTACACATACAAACATGTATACGTACATAATTATATATTATGTATTTTTAAATTTAAGTATTACTAACTATAGATAATGGAATAAGATACAAAATAGAACAGTCTAGTCAACAAGTTCAATAACGTGTTAATTCTTGTTCCCGCTCTTAAAAATATGTGCGATAGCTCATTCGATTCGGAATGACGTCTAGAAAAATGTATCTCGAGGACCGGGACGACCATCCGCACATCTACGGTTGCCTTTATAGGTCCCACAACGTTAATGCCGAAACAGACTGACTCATAGACCACATCCAAATGGCTACAGATTCCTTGCTGCAGCAGATCCCATCCGCAGAGATCGTGATCCTCGGCGATTTTAACGCCCACCACACATAATAATGGCTCGGTTCAGTTTTAACCAATCATGCGGGGAAATCTATTCATGATTTTGTTTTGGCATATGGTCTGACATAACTGGATATTTTGCCAACGCGGATTTCAGATGTGGAGGATCATGCACCTTCCCTGTTGGACCTTATGCTGACCTCTCATCCGGACAGATATCAGGTCTCCGTCGACTCCACTCTTGGCTCCTCGGACCATTGTCTAGTCCGGATTGTGGTGCCACTCACGCTGAAATTGCGGTTGAATTCTGCAGGCTGCCGCCGTGTTTGGTACTATAAGTTGGTCGATTGGGATAAGATGCGGTCTTTCCTTGCATCTTACCCTTGGGGGCGGGTTTTCTTCTTGCCGATCCCAAACTTGTTGCTAATTCTGTCGCTGATGTGGCACTTCAGGGTATTTAAACTTTTTTTCTAAAAACTAAAAAACTTCTTTCCATGTATATCGTTGTATTGAAGAGGTTATATTATGAAACATCTGTGATTTCAGTTATTATGTAAGTAAATCTTTTATTAACGTTGTATATGATTTCTGTAGATAACTCCAAAAGAACTTATCAACAATATGTAAATTTACGACATAGATTGATTATAATTATTTAATTTTGATGATTTGCTTTGTGGACAAACACTTCAAGATCATAGAATTTGCTTATGCCAGGCCTAGTGGGGAAAAGTAGACGAAATTCGAAAGAGTCCACTTTGTCCCACCAGTGTATCACTTTACTTAATTCCTTCCTAGAAATATGAAAGTAAGTCTTATTTGAAGGAACGATGTAATCAGGTTATATTATAACAATTAAATTTGTCTGGTTTCATAAATGCTAATGATTTTCAAATCAAAATTGCAAATTTGTTGCAACATTGGTTCGTTAGCTAAATTGTATTAACTAAATTACACAGAAGTTCTGAAAACGCAGTAGATTGACTTTTGAATTAGCTTCATCAATATTCCTACAGGCTAAATTACAACTTAAAAGATTTTGGTGCCTTAAAAGGAAAATTAGTTTTATAATAATCTTTTGGACACTAAAATTGTAGGTGTAGTTTTTTTTTAGTGGCCCCTACACAAGGAGCTCTCTCCCTATAGTTGAGTTTTACATGCAAGAATTGCAACATTAAGAAACATATATAGCTGGAGCAATTACTTGTAGGCAAAATAAATTCTCTTTTATGTGTCGTGCGCGATTCGAATCCATGGGTCGCAGTGTCACAGTCGTGTACTACTCGTATCGAGCTACCAATCCATCCGAGTATAAAGTTTGTTCTTAGATTTATTTCGGATTGCTTGTTACCGAATGCTAATTTTGGTGGAATAATTTTAATTCATGAAAGGAAAGATCCTAAAGATTATTTTGGCGTATTTGTATGAACTTATTTTGTGTAAAATGTGGTTTGGAGTCAAGCAGTTTATTGATTATTTTAGAGTAGAGTCCTATGTGTCGCGATCACTTTCACTTGCACTATGATATAGATTTACAAATGACGCACAATGATGATGCAGTAACTTAAAAATATGTGCAATGGTACACCATATGAGTACTCAAACACTATTTTTTTCTGATGTTTGTGCTATTAGCGTTTTGTCTTTTACTGTTTCATCGGACTCGGGTTAAAAAGGGGTGAATATTTTGCTATCCTGCATCGTTCTTGCATAAGGATGACTCCTAGGACAGCTAACAGTGCACCTGGGTGATTTATCTAACGGCCGTCAGAACAGGGGGGGTAGCGGACTCCGGCTCCAACGGCTAACTTGTA